CAGATGCCTTTGACACACCTGGCACACTGTAGAGATATCTGTAGACGGAGCAGGAAGCTAGATTAGACACTATGAAGGAGTATCTAAGTATATCAGATGGCCGTCAGAAAAGAGGCTCTGAAGCACAATCATAAGGATGCTGTTGAAACACAAGACCCTGCCAAATAACAGCTTGAATAAACAATGTGTGGTAATTAAATAAAATGAGCAAGTGCTGCTTTTTTTAACTGTGAGCACCAGAGATCATTTCCATAAATTAGTATAAGTAGTGTGGTGAGTGAGCTTTACTCTGCAAGATGATAATGTGCCCATTAATAACTTAATAAACACAAGATTTGTTCCCTGCTATTATTAGTAACAAGTAAATTCCTCCTCTGTCAATATTAGGTATAAATGATTTCCATATTAATCAGTGTATTGGGAACAAGAGTCTCTATAGACTGGGAAAGAAGGACTAGGAAAGAGAGGGAGGCAGTGTGGGCTAGTGGTGAGAGCTGAGGGACATCTCTTTCTGTGTGTGAGGGGACTCAGAGCAGTAATTCTTTATGAGGAGACTCAGAGCTGTAATTATAATACTCTGTGTGTGCACTACTCAGTACAGTAATCATCTCTACAGTATCTGCTGTAATCAGTACAGTAATGTTCTCTATGTGCAGTATTCAGTACAGTAATACTCTGGGTGTGCACTACTCAGTACAGTAATACTCTCTATGTGCAATATTCAGTACAGTAATACTCTGGGTGTGCACTACTCAATATAGTAATATTCTCTATGTGGAGTATTCAGTACAGTAATACTCTCTGTGTTGCAATACTCAGTACAGTAATACTCTCTATGTCCAGTACTCAGTACAGTGATACTCTGTGTGTGCAGTATTCAGTATAGTGATACTCTGTGTGTGCATTACTCAGTACAATAATACTCTGTGTGCACTACTCAGTACAGTAATACTCTGTGCAGTTCTCAGTATAGTAATACTCTCTGTGTTGCACTATTCAGTACAGTAAAATGGTCTAAGTGCAGTATTCAGTACAGTGTTACTCTGTATGTTGCACTAGTCAGTACAGTAATACACTGTGTGTGCACTACTCAGTACAGTAATACTCTTTGTGTTGCACTACTCAGTACAGTAATACACTGTATGTGCACTACTCAGTACAGTAACACTCTGCGTGTTCACTACTCGGTAAAGTAATACTCTGTGTTTGCAGTTCTCAGTATAGTAATGCTCTCTGTGTTGCACTACTCAGTACAGTAATACTCTCTGTGTTGCACTACTCAGTGCAGTAATACTCTCTGTATGTATGTGTGTGTGTTTCAGGTTCCCTGAATGTTATGCTGCGAGGCAGGAGCTTTGGCGGAACAGGCCCTCCGGTCTGGAGCCTCTCTGGAAGCCA